ACCCCAGCCTGGTTGGCAGAGGCGGTCGGAAGGATCTACCGGGGTCCGCCATCTGCTTGGGTTACTCACCGATTCCCGACCACACCACCCTATTTTTAATCTTGCACAAGGGAAGAAGCACAGCCACTTTCCACTGCTCTGGTGGACCTTCTACGCTATAGATTCTGTACATTATTCCACCAGAGTAGAGTGAAGTGATAACCTGCCTTTGGTACAACCCCAACAGAGTACTGCCAGCTTACCTGCTACCTGTTTTACTGGTTTTGCTGTTAATCTCTTAGGATAAATACATACAACTATTTTAGATTCTGTACTAGTTGTTTTTTCAGTCAAAACCAGAAATAGCAACCTTTTGGGGAAAAAATGGCAGATATGTTAGCTTACTTAACAGATGATTTAGATTTCACTTCATCCCTCTAGGAGTGTAATTGGCATAAAACAGAAAACTCATCTGTGCTGGAAATGGTGTTGCAAATGGTGGTATTTCAACAAACTACTTATTGAAGGCTTTACAGTAGTAACATGCACTTTTCTTGATGTTCCTCAGCATTTATAACAAGTTGACAGATATTCACTAACTAAAGGTCATTTTATTAAATAAAGATTCTTGTTTTATAGACTCAAGCACATGCTTTGAAATTGTTAGAGAGCAGATTAAACACTGAACTCCTCAGACACACAGATCCATTGCGTAGGATCATAGACCACATAAACAGGCTTGTTGAAAAACCTGACATTTACTCCTAACACACAGGTAAGTGGCAAAACCATTCAGTTCTTAGTCATTTATGGACTGAATTTATACTTTGACTTATAGCTCTCAATTTCGATGAACAAAGAACACTTTCTATTATATTTATATAACAGTTCCATCCAAATAAAATTAAATTCTGCAATCTTCATGTGCTTTAATCGGTAGACACAAATCACTAGAAAAGCTGGAAGGACTCAGCACTGCCAAGTCTGTTCCCAGGGCAGAGCTGCGGCCACTGAAACTGCTGAAAATGTTCCTACCAAAGCCAGTGGTTTTGTAGCATGTACGTAACCTCCATGAACAAGAGCAGATCATTTACAAATGCAATTATTGTCACTTCTAACATCAGCCATTTGATTTGTGTCAGTCTTTACACTGAACTTCCTGATGTGGTTCAAGAGGAAGACTTCTCAGTACCACCACTCCTCACTGTGAGGCTCCTGTGTACCAAACACTGGCAGGGACACCAAGCACGGGCCAGCACAAAGCAGGAAGTGGGTCAGGCAGTTCTGTTATCAAACGAGCCCTGCAAAACCTGTGTTGCTGCATCTATACCCTCCAGCAGGAAGCATTTACCTTGAAACCCTTTCCCAGAGGTCTGAAAATCAACAGTTAAGCAGGACAGCATGTAGAGGTATCTTTTGCCCTAGAATGGGAGATGCCTTATACAGTCATTCACCCTTCCTCAAAGGTACGTGGGACCTCTGCGTTCATGCTTGGAACAAATCGCTCTGCTGAGAGATTCAGCCCTCCCTCTGCTATTAGTCTGGCTAGAGAGAGTGAAAATTAAAATAGACGATAGCAGGCAGGGAAAGGCATGGTATTGCTCCTTCACTAACTGTTCAGTATTTTTACCTAGAAGCCAATGAAAACTTGGCCACTGACTCATTGGTGAAAAACTAGCCTCTCATAAATAAATATCCAAGATAAAGAAATAGAAAGCCCACTAATCATTCAAAAAGATTAAAGTAAGTCCAAATAGCTGAGAAATGAAACTCCTTCATAAATTCTACCTTTGATATGTTAAATTACTAATTTATTTTTAAGCTAAAAACTTCATGTTCTAATAGCTCTTGCTGGACAGCGAGTTAAAAGAGCATAAACCCGTATCATAGAAACAATAAAACACTGAAAGAATTATATTATTAGTTGTTCTTTTTAAGATGTGTAACTGTTTTTTGCATATCAAAACTGGTAATTTTTAATAAGACAGATTTCTGAAAATTGTTTGCATGACAATAAGACTTCAGCTCGTGCCTTTTCCAGCTATCAAAACTTCAGCTCCCTCCAGCTCCTACCAGCTGCCAGGCAATGACATCAAGTGTTACCACAGATGAAGTTCAGCCAAATTAACCAGTGAATTTTATTACTCTCTTTCAGTTCTAGAAGAGCCAAATGGATATAAGATCAACCAAATATAAAGGACCTTTCTTAATGGATAAGCTGAATGAGGAGAGGTCTTTTAAGGGCGGTAGGAGCTTTTCAGTGTTTAGTTGTATAAAAGCAATCCATACCAACATACACAGAACACAGTTTAAAACTTTGTACTCATTTCTAAAGTGATCATAGCTATTTTTTATTATTAAGTGATTAGTATCTTTTTTCTAAGCAACTCTTCTGCCATTTGAAATAACACATTGCTTGTAGTTTTGAAGTAATTTTGATTGATGCTTTCCTCTGTTCATTCTCCATCAAACCCTGTGTAAAATTCCCCACAAAAAGTATCCTATACCTTAAAAAAAAACCAAACCTGTCACTCTAGCTTTCTGTGGAAAGGATGAGAAGCCCATTGTCTTCCTCAACTTAACTGTCATTAACCACACTTGTAAATCAAAGAATTTCACTAATGCCTGGCAGTGCTGGCGTTGCAAAGCTTCTGTGGGGTCACCCATGCCCGCCGCTTGCATAAGCACTGCTTGGATCAGAGCATGCCTTACTATTAGCACTGCCTGTCTTAAAGCCAGCAATCTTCCAGGATGTTTCATTCCTATTGTGTATATTTGGCTTTTGTAAGAGTTGTTTTAAACAAGAATACAAACATCGTACAAAATATGAGCTACAATTAGGAATGAAAAAAAAAAAAAGGTTGTAGGATTTACTAGAAAAGGGACTGTGGACATAAAGATGGTTACCATCACCTCCAACTCACTTTAGGTCTCATTATAAGCTTGAATTTCTCATACTAACTAGCAATTTTTCATTATAAATTAATTTAGCCTCTAGAAATGTGAATTATCTAGGCACATACATGAGTAGACAGATGCAAAACAAGTATTCTAACTAGTTTCACTGAACTAACAAGTTTCATTAAATGTGTTGATAAAAATAACTGTGCTCTAAATTGCAGTATTTGACATAAATTTGAAGCAACTTGGATATTGACTGGAAAGTAGGCACACATGTACTAGCAATCAAAGAGTGGAAACAAACTCTGTTGTCAACACCCAAACATTGCTTTTGGTATTAAAACTGAGCAGATCTAGTAATGCAAATTACCGGTTATTGTACATCTGATGGTAGTGCAACAGAACACATCCTTATGCCCTAAACTCTGGAGTTGGATTACATTTTTACAGACTGGAAGTTCAAAAAGAAAAAAGCTTTAGGCATGTGTGAATGGCAGCATCAGAGACAATTTTCAAGCTTCCTGCATGCACACCCCATCCGCTTCCCACTTTGATGTTAGGGCAAGACCTAGGTACATAGCTGGCCAGAAGGGAGCCATCATTCTCTCCATCCATGCCCTTGAAGCACCAAGAACCAGGACTTGTGAACCTCAGCCCTGCAGTCAGGATGTCATCTCTGCCCTTCAATCCTGTTTGGATTAAGCCCTTGAGGCTAAAGGATGATCCTACAGCACAAGCAACAGAGGTTGGGGCTGCCAGAGGAAGATGTAGCAAAGCAACCATAAGTGTTCCTTACGCAGGAGTCTTGCAATTGTACTTTTAATAGAAATGAGCAACCTGCAACCTAAAATCCTAGCACAGAATTTGGAAGAGAGGTAAGAGAGAGAGAAGCAGGTTGCTCCCCAAGTTGCCCCCCCCACCCCCCCTCCCGGGACACTA